CGGCTCGGCCCGGCCCGGCCCGGCCCTGCTCCGCCCCGCCCGGCTCGGCCCGGCCCGGCCCGGCCCTGCTCCGCCCCGCCCGGCTCGGCCCGGCCGCGCCGTCGGGCCCCGCCGCGCCTTTCCAGGCACAAGGGCGCCATCTCGCGGCCACGCGGGGGGCGGCACCGGGAGAGCGGGACAGCGGGACAGCGGGACAGCGAGACACCGGGACAACGGGACAGCGGGACAGCGGGACAACGGGACACCGGGATGCCGAGATACCGGGACAGCGGGATGCCGAGATACCGGGACAGCGGGACACCGGGACACCAAGATACCGGCATACTGAGACACCGGGATGCCAAGATACCAGGACAACGAGACACCGGGATACCGGGACACCGGGACAACGGGACACCGGGACAGCGGGACACCGAGACCCCAGGACACCGGGAGACCGGCTGCCGCCAGGGACAGCATCCCTTCAGAGACGCCGTCCCCGTGACCCCATCCCGCCTGGCCGGGGACACCACCTCTCCAGCGGCGCCGGTCCCGGACAGCACCCGCCCTTCGATTCCATCCCCCGGGATAGCATCCCTCCGGGGACACCACGCCATGAGTTGTCCCCCGTCCAGGCGGGACTCGGTAGCCCGGGACAGCCGAGGGGAGCCCCCTTCTTCCCGCAGGGCCCCTCCAGAGCGGCGGGACAGAAGCCGGCAGAGGAAAAAGCCTTTGCCAGGCGCTCCTTCTCTCCGGAAAGCAGCAGCGTAGGTCACCGGGACCCACGGGGGAGCGGCAGTGGGACATGGAGGGCTGGCAGGTGGGGACGGCACGAGGGGGCAAAGCCCTGCCGAAGTCTTCCATGAAAAAATTAATTCTGATGACTTGAACTGTGCCGTGTGGATTGAAAACCTGGCTGAGGGATCATAAACAAAGGGTAATTAGAAGCAGGGGGAGGTGTTTATGGGGTACTGCAGGGATCTAGGTTAGGGCTGCTCTCATTTAATACCCTCATTAATGACCTGGAAAGAGGGAGTAAACTACACATTAATGAATTTGGCAGATGATGCTATACTGGGAGGTGCTGTGAGCTCCAGCAAGCATAGAAAATTAACACAAAAAGGGCCTAGTGAGATTAGAAATATGGGCAGGAAGCGGCGAGAGGAGCTGCGCCGTGGACAGATGTGAGCGAGCGCGGCTGGGACGCAAAGGCGAGCCGGAGCGACAGCAGGGCAGGCAGCGATGGCCGAGCCGAGCCGAGCCGAGCCAAGATCCAGAGCGACGCCCGGGGAAAGGCCTGGGGTCAGCAGGGGGGACGCAGGAGGCTGCGGTGTGTGAGGGCAGCGGGGACGGAGCAGCCCGGCGGGTCGGGCCCCGCACGCCCGAGGGCGCGGGAGGCGCTGCGGGGCTCAGGTGCGGCCGAGCGGCTCCCTCGGCACGGGCGGGCTGGCGGCGGTTCAGAGGGAAGCCACGCAAATGATCAAAGGCACGGAGAGACTGATTTCTGAAAGCAGATTAAAAGGCTTAAATATATATATTGCTTGGTTAAGAGCTGTCCATGGGGAGACAAACTAAGAGCCTTACAGATCTGGTTGGAGTAAATAGAGAGGGAGGGAAGGAATTATTTAATGGAGTACAAGGGGCATCACCAGAAGGGATGACAGGAAATGAAGAAATTGAGCATTTAGGTTGAATGTCACAGGGGAAAAAATCCCCTCTGCTGACAGCGAAAATTATGAGACTACGACGTGGTTCCCTGGAGGGAGAAAATTCTGTGGCTCGAGATATTTAAAACCAGACAGGATCAGTCTGAATATAAAGGCGCCTGGGATCAGCTACTGGCAGGGGCTGGGCAAAGGAGCAAGAGCTGGGCAGGGATGCACCTCATTTCCCAGCTCTTTTTGCACTGAAATATTTCCTTATGGATCACACCTATAAAAGATCTGCATTTCTTTATTTATTGCATATATGCATTTCTGCTGCTATAAAGGAAATCACAAATAATGGCTGGTGTGCCAGTCACCTCCTGGCCAGGCAGGGCTGAAAAGGGCCTGAAATCAGAGAAACTTCTCCTCTGTGTGGGTATGAAGGGGGATTAGAAGTGGGTCAGTAACTGATATGAGCTTGCTGGGTGTAGAAGCTGAACAGTGTGGCGTGCCCTGGAGCACCAGGTCTCCAGGTTTGGCTTCTGTAGAACATCTCCTCTCTCAGTGCTTTCCTGCAGGATGCTCTGCAGCTGACCAGGGAGAGGCCACAGCTGGTCAGCCACCCAGCACCTGCAGCCTTGGCCAGCACTCCATCTGCTCACCTCCAGCTCCTGCTCCGTTTGTCAGAGGCTGTGACGGGATCCCTTCGGAGCAAAACAAGCATCGATTGCAGCCCCACCTCTTCCCCATCTCCTGCCTCACTGGAGGTCTGTGCGTGCTGTCAACAAAATGGATTAATAGTCCTGTTATCAGTTCAGATGGATGGCCAGGGGAAGGAGAAAACATCGCGTCCCAGGGAACTCAAGTAGGCACATTAATAAAGATGCCACACGTTGGCTCTGAAATGTAAAAGCTTCGCTCCACTCCTTGCAACACAATTAGCTTATCCAGCCCCAGTGCTCCTGTTGCACTGCACCTGATGCTGCCCTCAGCATCGCTGCCTGGTGGCCTGGCTGGGAGCAAGGGGCTGCTGGCACGGTGGTGCCACGTTGCCTTTGGCCAAATCCCTGCAGGAGCTGGCCCTGCAAGCCCCACCTGCTGCTGCTGCTGCTGGGGAGCTGCATCACCCCCTTGGAGCCCGGGGGCCACAGGAGGAGCAGGATGGCACCAGGACCTGTCACTGACCCTCCTCACTGCTGGGGCTGGGCAGCACGGAACAGAGATCCTGCTCTGCCCGCACTGTCGAGTGAGGAAAGCTTTGAATTACAGGCAAGAGGTACAGCTTGCAGCCCTTTGTTTGAACGCTAATGTCATGACTCTTCTCCAGCCCTCATCCCTGCCAAAAAGTAAATCTCGGCATCTGAAACATATATATAAAATTAAGGTATCAGGGGGCGTTATTAAACATTCCTTGTGCAGGGATGAGGGAAAGGAAGAGCAGGGGATTGGCCCTTGCCCCCTGAGCAGCTCCTGCTCACATCCCTGCCTCTCCTGGGCTGGGGCATTCAGTGCCTGCTCTGTCCCCTCCCAGCCCAGCTCCCCCGGCTCCCTGCACCCCTGGAGCCCCCCACTCCTCCTCAGCTGGGGCCAGGGGGGAGCAAACCACACCCAGCACCCAGCTCGCTGCAGAACTGGGGACCACATGCACACCACAGTCTGAAAATTTCAAACTTGTTTTAAGCATCAAAGAGAAACTTTATCTTTTTAATTTTTCAGAACCTTTCTTTTAGTTTCTCGGTTCTGAAGTGTTGGGTTTTTTTCCCCTTTCCAGCACCTTTTCTTTTAGCTACTAGGTGAA